AATAAAAACTTGGAAAAGTTTGCCATTTTTAGAAAACAGAAATGCATTAGTGATAAATACAGGTGTATTACAAAGTGATGAGAGGGATGTTTCATCACGACACCATCAATTAAAGCACACGTGTCATAGGAGTATTAAACATGTAACCAACAGCAACGCAAGAAATAAAAAACCAAATACATACAAAAACATTACCTGTCACGTATTAGAACGTTAATACAATAGGCAAGGTAGCTTTAACCTTACTGAAATTGCCTTGAACCCGAGGTTTGGTTCTAAAACGTTATACTTCAAGACAAGCATATATGTGTGGTTGGATATTAATCACCACTGCACATAAATTATTCAATTCTGCCTGTGGTTGTCATTTTGTTGCGGAGTTTACATTTCCCATTAAATATTGAATAAGTTTTAATTGGAGTGTGTTTCGTCTTTGATTTTATACAGTGAGTGCAAGTAATGGACATGCATTATAAGCAATTTGTCAGAGTGAGAACAGAATGATTCATTAGAGTGAAAATTTACACATAATATAATGTGGGTTGTTTAGTGCCTAAAGGTTATAAACGTATCACACATTTTAGCAAGATAAATCCACTTATAGTGTAAATTAGATTATTATAGCTTTTAAAGTGATATTATTACCATCTTTCAATATAACATTTGGTGGTCTTTGGGTTACTGTTGTAATAGTTATTTGATATGATATGATATGATATTGTTTTGTTTTATTAAATGGGGTTTCTTCGAAGTTTTTAATAGAGTAAAACAAATTATTCCTAAATAACGTGAGTGATGATGCTAATATGATCACATTATGTAACAACGTTGTGCTATCGCAGTGAAATGTACAGCAGCCTTTGTTCAACTGTGAAGATAATCGAACATCTAATTATCTTCTTCATACCACTAGAATGAAATTTGCCAAATATTAAACCATTGAGAATAGTATATGGAAGCACGTTTTGTGAAATTTAGGATAATCAGATTAATCAGTTCTATCTAAGACACATGCTACCGTTGTGAATCAACTTTATAAACTCACTAACTAGAAAACGACCAAATGTACCCTTCCCAAAATCAATGTGAATTAAATTTAAATGTCACAACATTTTTCAATAGTGGACTAAATCATAGGTTTCGGTGAGTTGCGTTGCGTTTCGTTGCGTTGCGTTTCGTTGCGTTGCGTCGCGTTGTATTATACCCTGTCGCTCAAGAATTGTTTGTTGTTTTTTTCGTTATTTTCCTAAAAGAGGACTGTCGTGATTGTATATACGTATAGATAATTTATATTCTTCACATACTTACACTCATCAGATAGAACGTGAACTTGCACATGAAATTCCCAGCTAGCCAGTGCGTGGCATGTGTAGTAGCGGTGAACGGCACACAGAAAAACAGAAAAGCAAAGTCTGAGACTGCCAAGCTGAGAATATAGAAATTGGTGGTTGTCCGCATTCGTTTGTGTTTCAGTATGACAAAGATAACCAGAAAGTTGCCGGTTACTCCGATAAGAAATATCAGAGCAAAGATGACGGGCATAAGCCATGTCTCAATAAATACCGGTGGATCCCCGTAGGTGATGTTCTCGTAATCTGTAATGTTATCTTCAACAGTTATATTGAGCAATAAGTACATTTGATTGATCGTGACGTTGAAAAATGACCCTGTCGCACCATTGTCCTGGGCTTTCGTTCCATTTACTTCCATGGTGGATGAATAGACACTTAAAGTGCCGAACGATAGTAGTAATTACTCGATGTTATTGTAGTTTCCATGCAGTCACGTTTAAGTGGACTTGGTTCCAGCTATCCAGCACAGGGTTAATCGAATACGTGGTATCTCTAATTAACTGTGAAGTTCCTTAATTTGTAACGAGGTATTTCTGTTAGATGCGATGTTTTTCTAACTCCTTAGTCCGTCAGTGTGGTATTTTCACTAGTATACCCCAGTGAAAAGCTATGCCAGAAGCCTGTGTAGAGAAAAATGGGTTTTACAGAGTAAGTCAGCTGTTGCGCACGCTCAAATAAAATCAATATAAAACTGATGAGGGTATTACACCCACGCCATCAGTTTGATTCATACATTTTAAAATAAAAGAATAATGACACAGAAATGATGAAGTGCACAAATTTTCAGCTGGCTGCTGAGACAATTGGCATTGTATTCACGTAACATTGCAAGACCTCAATGAAATTTAGTAATGTGAGAGATCCCAAAATACACCCATGAATATTGCATTGCGTTTTGAAATCGTCACTGCCCGGTATGAGTTTACCTTCGATACCCTTACTTTACGTAGAAAGAAATATCTACGGCTCGTCTTCCATGTAATACGCAGACATGTGTGCCACGCTTTGCATCCTACCTGCCAGTTCGAAAGCGTAATAACTAAATAATCGTGTGCATGACGTCGGCAGCCGACATCCGGGGGCCTTTGCGAGTAGTATGATCGACGCATTTTGCATTCGCACATTAAAGAAGCAATGTTCTGTAACGTTCACTGGATGATGTAATTTATTTGCCTTTCCGCTATATATTTCTGTTTCGAGATCTTTGAATAACGTTTGACTATGGTGTAATCACGGAACATGCCACCATGATACCAACTGACAGAAACCCCATCACAATTTAAGGGAGATACTGCGATCGATATTTTAGCTGTTATTCCAAATTAAAATTACAGTTGAATTTATAGTACATGCGGTATCCTTTGTGTATGTCGTGTATAACAATGTGAGCATAAGGTTATTTATGTTAATGTATTCATACTCATCGTTATTCTGCAATAATACACAGCTTCACAAATAAACATACGAGTTGCAGTTCTAATTTAATATTCCACACATATATTGAATTGTTTACGATATATGGCGGTACCCACTCAAAGTTGATGAAACTATTTATTTTCATTTGTTTTATTATATTTATATTCATCTTAGTTTAATGATTTGTGAATAACGCGTCGGTTCTTGTTATGTTATGCTTATCTTAGTGAGATGTGAATGGCAATACAATATCCGTCAGGTCATCCTAGTGACCCGTAAACACTGTGGGAGAGCAAGAATAACATTGGTTGTTATCATTAGTGATGTATTATTGAATTAAAATAAAGTAAATAAAAAAAAGATTTATGCCAGATTGTATTGAGGGCGCACTCACGCGTACGATCGTTGTATATAATATATTCTCAACGTAACAGGGAATTTTGCTATTTGGCAATGTTTGTTGTGTGCATGAAATTAAAATTCAATAATGATTGGCGTATCAAAGAAGGGGTCTTACAAATGTATACAATGCTACTAATTACATCTCATCATTAGTCGTACTGATTCCTTTTTCTCTTATTACTTTCATTCCTCATTTTTGTTCCCATTACCTATTACCGGATTTTGACAAGCTGTTTGTATTTGTCAGCTTGCAATAACAGGAATGCAGACTTTCAAGCTAAGTAGTTATCAATGATACTTGTGAACTTTGCCTTCTTCTAAATCTACTTTTAGTGTTTATTCGGGAACAACTGAAATTAGCGGCGAGTTACATACTCACGACGTGAATGTAGGCGTATTTGCAATTCCTGATTGCGGGGATTGGAATTACCTCTCAGTAATGGTGGACACAATGATTCTATCATACGGGCAAATATAATTACCAAACTATCTCTGTTTTAAAAGTAGATTTTTTTTGACCAAATTTGAAACTGAAGAACATCATGCTGGGCTATCCAATAAAAATTTCCACTCCACTCTTCAAATAAGACAGAAGTGGTAAAGTTAATACACGAAGAGGCGGACACCAGAATGATCCTCCATGCCAATCATGTATCTCGAAAGAAGAATCTAGCATTCATACTTTTAACAGAGTTGGGACGGAACTGCAATGTTTCAAAACATACATTTGATGTCATCGAAGAGATGGTGCATGACTAATATGGAAAGATTGTGGCTGAAGTGAATACCACGATATATTATATCAAAATAAACCGGAAGCTTTACCACCCTGCCAGTCTTCATTGAAACATAATGAGTCAATTGCAAGGGTGCTATATGGAAGAGATAATTAGTTGAAAGTCCAGATATTCCAACATGGAGGAGGTGTATAGTTGATGCATGTTGCTGCGTCAAGTCTACAGAAATGTGTAAGATAGAATGTGATGATGTGTTCTATGAAGAAGATTATATTGAAAGCAATGATACAGATACTCATGTAGAGGACATAAATGACGAATTCGCTTCATCAACTTGATACGCGATCATCTCGTTTGTAACTCAACAATGATGCATCTCGTAGTTATCATTACTTTTTATGTAAACCTACAATGACAGGACTATTCCAAATATAATTTCATATTGTAATATTACAACTGTATCGAAAAGTTCTGATGATAGCATCATAGTGCAATAATATATAACCTTGTCAATGTGTAATAATTTCATTATTAATGCAATAACATTTGACAATAAAGCTTTTCAAAAGTTCAAAGGCAAGATTTTGTGAAACTAAATAATACATTGTTTGTTTTTTTCATTTGCAATGACCGGTTGTGAACTGAATAAACTTTTCCATCTCTCTTTACTCAATTTACCAAATTTATGTAAATGAAGGCGCATTCAATATCAACATACCAACACATACGTTGAAATTTGTGTTTTATTTGTTGCTATGTCAACTATTTCGATCGCCAGCCTCTTTCAAAAGGTACGGAAGTGTCCCTAAACACAGTGAAACACTAACTAGTGAAATAACACAAAATGTGTTTTATTGTTAGTAGGTGCTAAAAGAATGTTTTAGAAGTGGTTTCAGTTAGCCCCCAACTATTATCCCGGTCTCTCGTGTACTGATCATGAATGTTGCATTACTGTCTCATCTA